GTGCATGCGTTGACCGCGGTGTGCCCCTGGCGCAGGTGCAGAAGGACATCCTGGAGCAGAACCTGGACGAGGCCCTGGAGGGCAAGCAGGAGCTCCTCGATCGCATCCACTCGCTGCGGGAGAGGGCCGCGATTGCCGAGAGCCAGCGCAAGCAGGTAGGAGCCCCTGGTGCCCTGCTCCTGGGCTGGAGATGCCAGCCTGCCTGCAGGTGACTCCTGCGCTGGGCAGAGGGTGAGCGGACTGCCCTGAGGTACGGAGCTGCTTCTCTTTGCTGGCGCACAGGATGCAAACCCTGCCCGGGGGGGTCCTCCAATCTGGCCTGCCTGGAGGGTCTGGCTCTGGAGCTGGCTTCGTGCTGGAGCCCAGTTGCAGCGTCCGCGGCCCTCGGTGCAGACCTGTGTCCTGCCGGGCTCCGCCCCCTCGGCCGGCTCCCTCCTGACCTGCCTCTCTGTCTGTCTGCCCAGTACTGGGAGGAGAAGGAGCACACCCTCTTCGAGTGCCAGAAGATGCGGGTGGATTGCGAGATCTACAAGGAGAAGATCAGTGCCTTCCAGGCCCAGGTGGCAGAGCTGCAGAAGGAGCGAGACCAGGTGTGCGTGCCTGCCGTGTGGCCGGTGCACGCACATGCATGTGCGCACGTATGTGCACGGCAGGCAGGGAGGGCACTGCTTGCAGCCCCGGATTCCCGGCGCTCTCCAGCCCCCACCGTGGGACGGAGCCGAGCGGCTCTGTGCCCTGGCCACACGGTACATGCCTGCCCCTCCTCCTGGATCGCTTTGCTCCAAAGGCCCTGACCTGTCCCCCTCTTGCCCTGCACCCTCAGGCGTACAGCACAAGGGACGTGGTGCAGCTGGAGATCTCCCAAAACCTGCTGGAGAAGGACGCGCTGCGCAGGAAGGTGTTCGAGCTGACGGACCAGATCTGCGAGCTCAGGAAGCGTGCCAGGGAGCAGCAGGCAGAGCTGGGCTGCACGGTGCCCACGGTGAGACCCGGGGGCAGCCGGTCAGCGTGGCACAGGGGCTGGGCGCGGCCCGGGGGGAGTTTGTGGCACTGGGAAATCTGTCTGTGCGCTGTTGCCTCGGCAGGTGCAGGACGAAGCCCCCGCCAGCCTGGAGCCTGGGGAGCCGTGCCTGCGCAGGAAGCAGCGGCTGGTGCGGATGCACGCCATCTGCCCCAGGGACGACAGCTGGAGCAGCTCCCTCAGCGCGCTGGAGGTGTGGGGCCCTTCTCTTCCCCACCTGGGATTCCCCAGCAGCTCAGGGCATGAGGGAGGCCAGGGCTCGCCTGGCAGGGGCAGCCGGCCGGACGGGCACTCATGCCCCCGCGTCTCCCCTCCGCAGCTGTGGTCAGACCTGAGTGCACGGTGGAGCAGCGAGGTGGCCGACAGCTTCCGGTCCTGCAGCCCCGTCCCACCCTGCAAGTGCTCCCTGCAGCGGAGAGCCACGCAGGACTACCTGGAGGGCTCCTTGTCCAGGAGGTAGCTGGCCCGGGACACCCCCTTCCTGGGGCCTTCTGCCTGTGGCCGTTCTGAGGTGCCACTGCCCCCCGTGCACCACAGCCGGCCGGGCACTGCCCGAGGTCCATCCGGGTCGGGACATCTGGTTCCTCCCTCTGTCCAGATGTGCCTTGTGACCCGAGCAGCAGGGTGATGGGGAGGGGGCTCTCTCCTCCACTGCCTCACTGCCGTTTTCCCTCTGCTCTGGGCCCTGCAGCAGCTCCCAGGACTTCCTGGAGGTGGATTTCAGCCTCTTCCCTGGGGAGAAGGCAGAGGACCCCCTGGTTGAGCACGAGGCAGCTGAGCAGCACGGTGGGTGTCCCCCTTGCCCCACATCTCTGCTCCTGGGGTGGGAGAAGAGGGTGTCCCGGCTGCCAGCTGGCTGTGGCTCCCAGTAGGATGGACAAGCTGGGCTCGTCCGTGACCTGGAGCAGGGCCTGCCCACCCAGTATCACTCAGCACGAGGCATCCCGGGGACCGATGCTGGCAGCAACCCCGGACACGGGCATGGGAAGATCCAAGTGCTGGGCTCACGCGGGGGCCATGCGTGCTGTGGGGGGGAGCCGTAGTGGGGCAGAGGGGAGGGGAGGGAGACTTGCCCCTCTGTCCCCACCAGACCACGCTCTTTCCTTTCAGCTGGTGGCTCCCCACCACCCAGCCCAGGCCCCTCCATCTCCGAGAGGTACGTTGCACTCGGCCCTAGGGCAGCCTCTGTCTCTGGAATAGGGCGGCACCCCTGGGCGCTTGTACACATGGCGAAAATTGCCCTTTTTTGCAGTTTAATTGCATCGCATTTTACACATACAGGATTTTTTTTGAGATGTAAATGAGCATTGCAGTGCAAAGTACACCACATCCCGATGTATTTTAGTTTGCATCAACGCAAGTTGCAATGATACAGGCATCGATCTGTCACATGTACACGGTAAGTCGTGTACACGGCTCGGCTGCCCCGGGCAGAGCGCCCCTCTGGTCCCTGGCATTTGGCCTCTGCCAGACGAACCCCTGCGATGCCCCCGAGGGCTGAGCTCCGTCCTGCCTATGCTACAGCCTGCTGCCATCTCCTCCTCCCCGTCTGGCGTTGCTGCCAGGGTTGCGCTGGTCACCATGCAGGAGCCAGGGACCCTGCCCGGGTCTGATCACCGACCGCCGGCTGCGGTTTCTCGTGCCGGTCCCGCAGACTCCAGATCTCTGCACTTGACGCTTCTCGGGCATGCTGAGCCCGGAGCCGAGCCAGGCTGCGCCTCTGGGACAAGGGCCGGCAGCCGCGGGACAGCTTCGCGGCTGCCTCCGTGCGGCCCAGCCCCGAGGGGACGTCCACATGCCCGGGCACGCGGCTGGGACCTGCAGTCCCCCGCGGGTGGGGAAGCCGGTAGAAGGGGTCTGCAAGGAGCTGACGCTTGGCTTCGGCTGTCTCTGCTGCTTCTCACGAAGGCCCCTTCCCCCAGCATACCTATGCGCCGGCGGCCTGCCCGGCGGATCCTCAGCCGCGTCACCACCATCGCCTTCCAGGGCACGGCCCTCCTGGACCAGATCAGCGTCATCGGGGGCAACCGGACGGGCATCTTCATCCACCGGGTCATCCCGGGCTCGGCTGCTGATGAGATGTCTCTGTCCCCAGGCCACCAGATCATGGTGGTAAGGCCCCACACTCCCCTTCCTCCTGCCCAGCCCTCGCCCTGTGGCCTGCCGGTCGGATTTGTGGGTCCCCCTTGGTCTCGGGGGGGTGCGGCCCCAGCGAGCCCATCTCCATGCCTTTGCAGGTCGACTACGAAGTCATGGACCCGGCGTTCAAGGCCGTTCTGGAGGATGCCACGCTGGAGGAGGCGCTCTGGGTCCTGGGGAGGGTGAACGGTTTCTGCTGCCTGTCTGTCAGGAGCAACATGGAAGGTAAAGGCCGGCTCCCCCAGCACACACACCGGCCCCCCGGACTCATCCCGGGCATCTCCTGGGGGTCTTCGTGGTCTCCAGGCCAGCAGGCAGGAATCCTGCTGCTTTGCTCTTCCTCCCGTGCCCATCCGCTGCTTAAGTCGGGTCTGCTAAAGCCACCCAAGCGGTGCTGCGAGCATTGCCCCTTTGTCCCAGAGCAAACGGAGTGGGGGATTGCAGCCTCCTGCCCCACTGTTTGCATCCCCCCGGGCTCCCTCCCTACTGCCCCCCCCCTCTCGTTTCAGGCTACAAGAAGCTGGTGAACGACCTGGAGGAGAAGGTGGTGACCTCGGGTGACTCCTTCTACATCCGGGCCAACTTGGCGCTGGAGGGGAAGGTGACGGGGGGGCTGCAGGTGCAGTGCAATGAGATCCTGCACATCACGGACACCGTGTTCCAGGGCAGGAGCCGGTGGGGCGCCAGCCGGGTCAACCCCTACAGCATGAAGGATGGGGACGCCGGCACCATCCCCAACTACTACCAGTGAGTCCCCTGGGCACCGCGCGGTCCTGATAGCCCCCTGCATGCAGGCGAGTGCTGGCAGGGAGAGGCCCCATCCCACGCTGCCCAGGTGCAGCCACGTGCCTCTCACCTGGCCTGTCCTCCCAGCTGCACGGCTGTGATGTGGCTTCCAGGGCCTGCAAGTCCTGGCTTTCAGCTCCAGCACCGGTCACTGGCATCTCTTGCAGTCATGCGAGAGACGGGCACAGCCCCAGGTCCTCCATGCGCCAGGAGGTAGCAGTGATGCTGCCAGAGGGCCCAGGAGGCAAAGCTGCACCCCCGGAGAGCTCACAGCTGCTGGCAGTCTCCTTCCCCGGGTTGTGGCTAAGACCTGGCACGGTCTTGCAGCCTTTGCAGGCGCCCTCAAGGTCTCAAGGCCTCTTCCTAGCACAGCATGTCCACACCTGGGTTCTGCCGGGCACCTCTCCAGCCCAGCTCTGTCTGTCCCAAGCTCGCTCCCTCCCTGTCAGCACCTGTTTGCAGCCTGGTCCGCACGCCTGCTGTGGGATTCCCATGGCCCCTGGGGTGTCCGGTCCTGTCTCCCACATCAGCTCTACTGCCTTAATGCAGCCATGTCTCTGCTCTCTGTCTCCAGAGCGCAGCAGCTGCTCATCGCCCTGATCCGGGACATGACCCAGCCCAGCACGGCAGCTCGGAAGGTAACGGGGCAGAGGGCACCCCGGGCACAGCCTGGGGGGAGAGGTGCCAGCCGGCCCCTGGGCAGGGCGCTGTAAGGGGCTGTGGCCAAGGGAGGAACAGCCACATCTGGGCTGAGTGCTGGGATGGGTATCGTGGGGCTCACGGGGGGGGCCCAGCAAGCAGTTCGTTTGAATCGGCTGGGGGCTGCCCCGGGCTCTCGCATGAGGACTCTCATCTCTGCCCCCAGCCGCCCGGGGTGCAGGCCAAGCTGGTGCGGATCGTCAGCACGGACAGGAGCAGTATCAACCCTCTCTGGTCATCCATCGACTGCGGCACCGACGACCCCAGCAAGCTGGACGGTGCGTGGGGTGGGCTGGCGCTGCAGGGGGGAGACACTGGGAACACTTCCCGTGGCAAAGGGGCTTGGACCGGTCCCTGTTGGCATAATGCTTGGCAGGGATTGGGGCCCCCTGCCCTCCCCACCTGCCCCCCGGTCGCTAGCGGCTGCCGTGATGCTGACACAAGTGTTCGGCTGCCCACGGTGCCCTCAATCCTGCCGGCAACCGGGGATGCCCTGACCGCCCTGCTCCCCCCGTTGTCACCTGTGCAGCCAGCCCCAGGACGTGTCCCAGGGGAGGCAGCTGCTTCACGCTGATGCCCTACACGCTGGTGAGGCCCCACAAGCCAGTGCGGCTGCGCCCTGTCCTCTGCGTGCCCACGCTGCTGGGCCAGGTCCTGAGCAACAAGCTGTGCCTCACTAAGACCTTCGAGAAGTGCCCCTCAGGTACGGCCTGGACACCTCCTCATGGCAGCAGGTGCCTGGCTGTGCCCAGCACCAGCTTGTCACTCCCATGCCCATCACTGCTGCCTGGGCGGCTCGGGGAGCAGATCTGGCACCCCCCCATGCTCTGCTTCTGCCCTTGCAGAGCTCCTGAGCGAGGCCAAATGCCCGGCCACCCACAGAGCCATCGTCCAGGGGAAGAGGGCACTGACTGGCCACTGCGGCATCACACGCCAGGCCCTCGAGGTGCTGATGGAGAAGGTAACAGGGTGGAGGTGCAGAGGCACCAGGACTTGGTGTGGAGGGGGGAGATGGTTGGCACTGTCCCGGAGCAGGAGAATGAAGGCCTTTGGGTCTGGAGGCAGGGGTGCTCCTTCCTGCTGCCCATCTCTCCACGGGCCCAGGGCACCAGACCAGACAAGTCGGCCTCAGGGTCCCTCGCTGAACCCCGGCACGGCTGCCATCATCTGCAGGGGCAGCCCCCTGCCCGATGTGTCCGCGTGGGTCTGAGCCACTCTTGCCCTGGCTCCCTCCAGAACGTGCACGGCTTGCTGGACGTAGGGCCGGAGAGCGTGCGGGCCCTGCATGCCATGGACATGTACCCCATCATCCTCCTTGTCACCCTCAGCGAGAAGAACATCAAGAAGCTACGGTAGGTCCCTGCCTCCGGCCTCTGCGGCTGCCAGCTGGCCCTCGCTGCCTTGTGCAGGCGCAACGAGAACGGCGTGGGCTGCACTGCCCGAGGGGCTCCCCCAGCCCCGATCCCATCATGCAGTCAGGGTGAAACCTGAAACAATGGGGCACACTGATCCCCCCGGACCAGGTGCTTGGCTGACCGCCCCTCTCTGGTTCTGCTCCAGAAAGGCCTTGCAGCGCCACGGGGTGACGGAGGAGCAGCTGCTGGAGGGCGCGCGGAGCCAGGAGGCCCAGCTGGAGAAGGCGCCCTGCCTCCACGGCACCATCACCCCCGACAGCTGGAGCGACGTGGACAGCTTGGTCGGCTGCCTGTGCGCAGCAGTCGCCCACGAGCAGAAGAAGGTGGTGTGGATCGAGCAAGACCTGCGCTGACCCGGGGAGGCAGCCGCAAACCAGGGACTGGGAGGGGGTTTCCTGGGGGCTTCTGGAGGCTTGTTTCAGAGGAGGGTGAAGGACCTGTTAACTAAAGGGTTAAAGGGTGTCGTGTTTGCACCCCCTGCTAGTGCTGGGTGACCCCTCACCTGGCTGCTGTCTGCTCTCCGTGGCAGGGAGCCCCCTGTAACTCTATGTATAGGGCGTTTCTCACTTCAGCTCCGCTCCCCTTTCATGTGTGGGGGTGGGCACCTCTGCAGTGGTGCCCGGGTGCCAGGGCAGGACCTGGCATGAGCAGGGCTGCCCTGACTGACGCGGTGCTAGGTCTGGACCTGGCCATCCCCGGTGCAGCCGGGCCGTCCCCTCCCATGGCTGGGGTCTCACTGTACTGGGTATCCCAGGTTCCTCTGATCTCTGCTGGCTGGGCCCACGCACATCAGAGGCTGTAAGTTCTGTTCGTTCTCTGCATTAAACCTCGTTACTGAGCATTGCTGCAGGCTCGTCTACGATGGCTGGGCCCTCGACCCCCAGCCCATGCACCCGCCCTGGGTGCAGGGGGCTGCAGGGGCTCCACTGCTGAGGCTGGGGCAACTCCTAAGAGCCCTGGCACCTCACACTCTCAGCAAGCGGCACTGACAAGTGCACAGCGGGGAGATGCAAATCGCCCAGAACGGATCTGTGCCCCTTTTCCTTCTGGGACTTTATTGAGAAGACCACATTACAGCACGGTCGATGCCCAGCTGTGGGCAGTGCTGCATGCTCAGACCCTTTGAACCCGACACGGTTTTGGCACAGACTGTGGCCCAGTTGTGGCATGGGACCAGCTGCACCCCGTCCCCACGCAGTGCCGGGGGGCACGCACCAAGCTCTGGAGTGGCTGCCGAGTTGGGTGCTTAATGTTTCTTTGGCAGAAGCTAGGAGCAGGGTTTCGGCAAAGGCACCGGGTGAGCGGGGCCCACGGGGGGAGCCGGGGCATGGAGGCAGACAGGCTCTTGGGAGGAGCCGGTGGCTCAGAGCTCATTGTAGAGGGGCTGGCACGGTGGGCTCAGCTTCTCCTCCAAGACACCGTCGGGGGCACACACCCACGGGTCCTGGGTGTCCCACTGCCACTTCACCAGCTGGGCTCGAAGCCCCTCCAAGATCTCGGCGTAGCGGGGGTCAGCAGCCAGGTTGCAGCTCTCGGAGGGGTCGTGGCTCTGGTCAAACAGCTCCCAGCGGTCCCGGTAGTAGTACTGGTGCAGGGTCTTGTTCCAGTGGGTGGGCTGGCCGGCCCGCGTGCGGCACAGCAGGTCCTGGAAGGTGGGCGAGACGTAGAAGTCCTGGTCGATGGGGAAGGGCATGCGGTAGTGGAGGTTGTGGACCAGGCGGAAGTGCCCATGCTGCACGGCCCGCATGGGGTAGTGCATGGTGACTTCGTGGAGGCTCTGGCTGCTGAACGCCGTCGCCCAGGCTGGCTCCGATGCCAGAGCCGGCAGCAACGACTTCCCGGTGAGCTGCACCTGTGCACTACCGAAGATGCTGTAGCTGGGGTAGGGGATGGAGAACCAGTCCAGGAGGGTGGGCGTGAGATCTGGGAAGGGAGACGGAAATGGAGGATGAGTCTGCTGTCAGCCAGGGCGGTGCGTGGCCCGGCCAGAGCCCAGCTGCAGGGAGAGGGTCCCCACCGGGGCTCTGGTGTGGAGGCCTTGGGACCTGCCAGTCTTACCCAGCAGGCTGGCATAGGCCTGGCTGACCTGCCCCCAGCGAGCAGTGTGCTGGGGAGAGGAGATGAGCAGGGGCTCAGTCGTGCCCGAGCGGTACAGGTTGGTTCTGCCGCTGGGGAAGGGGATGCCGTTGTCCGAGGTGTAGATGACCAGCGTGGAGTTGAGGAAGCCGGCGTGGCTCAGCTCTTCCAGGACCAGCCCGATGCCTGCGTGCGGAGAGCAGAGCTGAGCACGCGCTCCGCAGCGATGCAGCCCCCACCTCCTTCCTTCCCCCGCCGCTGAGCTGAGGATGGATGTGCTCATCTCTGCGCAAGTCCCAGCCCTGCATGCCCTGCGCCCAGGCCCGCTGCCCACCTTGGTCCATGCGCCCGATGGTTGTGTACTGGGCGGCCAAGTCTGCACGAGCCGCAGGAGTGTCTGGAACGAAGTAAGGGACCTGTAGGGAGGAAGCAGCATGTAAGGGCTGGAGATGCCAGGGGAAGGAGCATGGGGGTATTAGAGCCAGCAATGCGGACAGAGCCCCTGCAACCCAGCAAGCTTGGCGGGTGTTCCCACCTCCCACCCCCGTCCTCACCCCTTTCCAGCATCGCCTCCCAGCAGGAGCCCAGCCACAGCCCAGAGGGCAGGGAGCCGGCATCGGGGCCGCTCCTGACAACCTCGTCTTACCTCCACGTCCTCCGGGCGGTACTGCTGGGGCGTCCAGTCGGGGATCCAGCCCATGCCGCTCTCGCCGTTGCCGAACTTCTCGCAGAAGGGCCCATACTGGGGCTGGGAGTGGCCGCAGCGGTGGGGGTCGTGGAAGGCGACGTACAGGAAAAACGGCCTGCACGGAGAGCGAGGCAGTGCCCGTGGGTGATGGAGGCCCACACGGCGTGAGCAGGGCCTGCACAGCCCCAGGCCAGTCCTGACCCGGCTCCAGCCCTCCATCCGGACCCGGCGGTGCAGCCGGCTTGGGCCACCTCTTCATGCAGATGCCAGCCTGGGGCAGGCAGGAGTGAGTTCACCTGGTTTGGGACATGCTAGGAGCTGGAAAGAGGCTTTCCCACCTGTAAAGCTGGGGCCCATGCCCAGCCGAGCCGCTGCCCCTGGCTTTCCCCCGGGGCACACGCTGGGACGTGGGCGTCCGGCGCATCCTGGAGCAGGACGCAACGTCTCACCTCTCATCCTGGCTCCGGAGGAACTTGCGCACAAGCAGCTTGATGCGGGTGATGTTACGGCCCACCTGCAGCACGGAGCTGTTCTCCTCGGTGTAGGCAAAGTCGAAGGGGTACACTGCCTCTGGCCCCACGTGCTTCTTCCCGATGATCCCTGCAGCAAATGCGTGGGACAACTAACCGCCTGAGCCTGTGGCCGGAGCACCGGCTGCTGCCCAGCCTCCCCTGGGGGCCAGGGAGGCATCGTCTTGCTCTGAAGCTGCAGCGGTGGCTGGCAGACGCCCTC